TGTGACCCGATTAATTCCTCTGTATAATCTATTTTTGAACCTTTAATTAATCCTAAAGATATTTCATCTATTATCACATTTGCTCCATTCTTATCAAAAACTCTATATAATAACATAACATTTTTTTTTAGATCATAATAATAAATTTTATATAATTACATATATGACAACTTACACATCATCTTCTTTTAATGAATTAGTTTTCACTAAATCATAAAAATATTGAAACCCATGACATCCACCAGAATCTACTCTTATTCTCAATGCATTACTCTTATTGTTGTTATGATCATTATCATACTTTGTTATCGATAAAAGTTTCTTTTTATTATAAAGCATTAGAATTCCACATTATATATTTCAAAAGCAAATATTATAAAATAAAAGATTATAAAAACCTTAACAGCCCGATCTGTAATTTCAATTCTATTGTCATTTTTTATTTGTTCTTTTTGTAGTCCTTGCTTAAATTGCGTAAAATTTCTTTGCGAGTAATAACCATCAAAAAATTTTATTTTTGTTGATTCATTCTTTACATTTCTTGTTGAATAAGAAGAATGCCTTAAATTATTGTAAACTTGACTCTTGTAAAATCTAAACATTACGAAAAAATTAATTTATTATTATATTATTATAATCTAGACGTTACACGGACGTATGTAGCACTTGATATTAATATTACAGGTCACTCCCGTTATAAGGACAGCTCGTTATAGTGACATTTTTTCAAAAACACACTTTATAAATATAAATTTACTCCCGTTATAATGATATTCATTACGTATCCCGTTATAGTGACATCCGTCATAAGGACATGTCAGTACAACGAGAGAACCAATCACATCACTCAAATCACTATGACAAAATCAGATAGCTAATTCTTTACGTTTTTAATGTTTTATTTTAATATTACTAATACTAAACACATTAAACACAAATTATTCACATCAAGTTTATTATTATTAACACTAAAATTAACAATAATCAATTCGCAAATTGTTTTGGTAGTGACAAAGTATCTATTATTTTCAAGAATGGGTTTGTGAATTGTAACAAAGTATCTTTACGTTTTTTATTGATCTCTTCTTATTGTTTTTTGATGATGATGAAATACTTACAGTTTCAAACAAGACTATCCCTTAAACGAATTTTGGACCAAATCTGGTTCAAAATTCCAATTGTGACTCAAAAATTATAAAAAAAGATATTTTCACCACAATCTTTCTTATTTCATAAATGATATTCAAAACCCCATACTTCTATTAAAAAAATTTATTTGGGGGTTACATATAACAGGTAAGAAAATAATGTGTAAAATGTAAAAATACCCATTTTTTTGTTATTTTCTTGCAGATCACGTTTTTTGATAGTAAAAATTTGCGATACAGTTATATAAACCTTATATCACCTTCACTAAAATTATTAAACACTACTAATGGTGAACTTTTCAAAAAAAATTTTTTTAAAAAAAATACAAATGTTTCTTTACTTATAAAAAACCTTAAATATGATTCCAATATGTACAATTTTTTTAAAAATAAATTTTTCAGAATATATGTTAATTAAAAATGTAAAAATATTTGGGGTTTGTTAGTAGTAGTAGTATTTTAAGAGGGTTTGAATTTACTCGGAAGATCTACACAAATTTATTTTGTGTTGTAAAAGTTGATTTATAATATAATACTTACAAGCTGGTTATTATAAATAAATAAAAAATAAATTTATTTAATTAGATGATGTTTTAATAAAGTTTATTTTGTGTTGTAAAAATTAATTTATAATATAATACTTAC